ACTCAAATGTTAGGGCTCGCTTGAGGTCCCCCTGCTAGCCATTAACAAGACAGAATTAGGATCTGGTTCTTAGAACTTTCCAAACAATCCTCTTTCAACCTTACACCAAGCTGGCTCTCTGACACTCCAGGCCTAGGCCAAGAGCTGTTATTGATGGAAGAAACAATTATTTAAAAATCTGCATGCAAAGGAACATTTTGGTATTAAATGGAGGTGCTATACCATAGTGAAAAGAACTCTGGATGTGGAGTCAGGATTACTGGGGTTGAGTCCTCGTTCAGGAACTCACTAGCCATGTGACCTTGAGCAAGCCACTCATAGATGCCCATAGACTCAGTTTCCTCAATTACAAAATCGAGGGTTGTAGTGAGAAACACATGAAATAACACAAGTGAAAGGCCTTGGTAGACATCCTGACATTGTACAAAGGTATTATTATTATTATGTTGTGGTTCTAGCTTCAAATAAAATAATCATTAATCTCTACATACTTTACAAGATTTCCCACAGCTCTCCGTACCCTGCTCCTTGATTTCCCATCACCTCCTGTAGGGCAGGAAGCGTGGCCCCCAACAGGAAAGGGCTCAGAGAAGCTAGAGCTTCAGCCAGGAAATAACCATCTTGCCCCAACCTTCATTTCGCCAGATAAATGATACAGCCAAATGGTGAGATACAGACGAGTGGGAACAGAGGTGTCCAGAATCTATTTCAGCCTCTGACCAAAGAGCAAAGTAGCCCCAAGGCCCTAAGGCCCGTAAGAGAAGTGGAAATTTAGTAATTGCCAGATGAATTAAAGTCAGTGAAGACAGCCAATTTAAATCAAAGGAGAATTGGTGGGGCCTGCTTTATCAGGCCCAACAGAGGTGATCCCCCACACCTTAATGATGCCTTTTGATTCATATGCTGATTAAAGAAATCATTTCCAAATTTTCACTTTCCCTTGGTGCAACTTAGGCCAAACACTTTTTAAAGTGTGTGTGTGTGTGTGTGTGTGTGTGTGTGTGTGTGTGTGTGAGGGGGGGGGATGCACAGGAAGATGGGAATGGCCAAATAAAACAACTAGTGAAGAAGTTCCCAAAGTAAAGTAAAATGGCAAGTGTTACATCCACATTGCTGGCAGTAGATTTTGAGGTTGGTGAGGACAAGCAAGAGTGGTCATAGAACGCCAGGCCTGAGACAACATCAAAGCCACTGCTACCTTAGTGGCTTGGCCTCCTCCGCAAAGTCCTCCTTTAAACCAGGTGAGGGAGACATACCAGGCAGGTCTCACCTGCCATCTCTAAAGTCTTTCCACTGGAGAGAAGACACCCCATAGCTTAGAGATGGAACCTCTGGTCCTGGGACAAAGGAGGGGGACAGGGAGGAGGAGGAGGAGGAAGACATTAATCCTCAGGGTTTCCTTCTAGTTCAAATGACCCTCTGGCTTCCTTAGTATAGATAAATATATAATAAATAATACCAATATATCTGAACGTAAAGATTTTTTTTCAGATTCCTGCTATTCATTTCATATTCCGTGTTTACAAAGCCCTGAACCCTCCAGGAACTGCTGGGCACCTCCCCTAATACCCTCTAGGCTGAGGCGATGCCTTTGAAGTCCCAACCGTGGGCTCAGGGTTGGAGCTGCTAAGAAACACCCTAAGACTGAAAGCAAGTCTGCCAGCAACTTCAGCTCCTTCGCAAGCTGCTCTCCTCGGAGTTAATGTAAAGTCATCAGAGTTTCAACGTGGACCGCAGTCTTCTTAGCCCTTCAGTCCTGGGGATGGCCTGGGATGTAAACACATACGAGGATTTATTCCTGCGGCCAGGCGGGGAGTCGTGAGAGTAGAGGGTAAGGGTCAAGGGGCTCAGTTTGGTGACTGAGGGGCCCGGGAAGTGGCGGGGGGCGCGGGGGAGGGGGCGGGCAGAAGTCGAGTTTTCCTGGAGTCAGGTTTTAGGGCCCCAAGTTGTGCAGGCTTCCCCCTTTACAGACCTTTCATTCCCCCCGCCTCCTCCTTCCTCCCTAGGGCCTCTCGCTCCACGCAGCCCCCCCCCTCCCACCGAAGGATGCCTCCACGCCCAGGCTAGGGGCTGCCCTTTGAGGGGGGCCCAGGGGATGTGCAGCACGGGAGGTTGCCACGAAGGGTGGGCCGCCCAGGAGACGCGAAGCGAGGCTGCGAGCCCCGGCATTTTCCCTTCCCCAGCACCTGTCCCACTTGGGCACCCAGGCTGGGGCTGTGCCTGCAGGCGGCCTCAGTGCCCGAGAGCCAGAGCCTTGCACCGAGGTCGCCCGGGTTAGGGAAGTGGGGGGCCGGGGAAGGGGCGGGGCATCTGACGGGGGCGTCCCCCCGCACGCAAGACCCCACGCCCCCAAAAACACGGAGGTTAAACGGAGAGAGAGAGTCATACATAAAGCACGAGTGAAAACGCTCACTCTCCGACCCCGAGCGGCGTTGCTCGCCACCCCCCCTTCCTGGAGCCGGGGGCTGGCCGGGGAAGGTGGCTCCGTTCTTCACCCGTGGCCAGTGCGGGGTCTGCGGCTGCCCGGAGAGGTTCCGGCTTCCCCGGGGCTGGCAGGGGGAGCCCCGAGAACTGCAGGCCCGCCCCCCCTTCCTCCTCCTCCTTCCCCTCCTCCCCCACGTGTCCTCCCGGAGCCCAGCGGCCTGATCCCAGCACCCCCGCCACCTCCCTCCTCCTCTTGCTTCGCCTGCTTCCCGGCGGCGTGGAGAAGAGCAAAGTTGCGACAACGGCCGGGGGGCTCTGCCCAGGTGAAGGGGGCGCCGCGGGGGGTGGGGGATGGCGCAGCCCTGCGGCGGGGGCGGAGGGAAGATAAAGAAACTTGCTTTCAGCCGCCCCCACCCCGCGCGGGTTCGGATCTTGCGTGGACGGAGCCCTCGTGGCGAGACGCGACAACGCCGCTGGGACCGAGGCCGGCACCGGGATCCAGACCGGACCGCGCGCCTGGGCCGGCTCGGCGGGCGCAGGCAGTGGGCCAGGCCAGCACCCAGGCAAGGGCGGGGTGGGTGGCCATACACCGGACCGAACCGGAGACTCTGGTGGCCTGGGCGCGGGCCGAACCCGGACCGGGCCGAGTTGGGTGGCGAAGTAGGACGTGGATTCGGGGGCGGGGCGCGGCTGGAGGGGGAAACCAGGCCCCGCCGGACTGGCCTGGGCGTGGGGGCGGGGGGCGAGTTCGGGGCACTTGCTGGGCTCGGGACCCAGCGGTAGGGCGGGGCGCCGCTAGGGGCTGGGCCGGACCCGCGGGGAGAGGGCGAGGGGGGGAACCGGGGGTGGAGTAGGGGCGTGGAGTTGCGAGCGGGGTCTGGCCTCGGCCGGGGGCGAAGGTAGATCGGCGGGGCCGCCAGCGGAGGGAGGGAGGCCCGCGGCAGCGCGGCGGCGGCGAAGGCCAGCTTCCGCGGAGTTTGTGCCCCGGCTTCTCGGGCTCCGGCCGCCCCACGCGCACAAATGGGGCTAGGGGACGCACTGGTAAGCAACTGCGAGTGTTAGACGGTGTTCGGCGGCGATTCCGGGAAAAGCGAGGAAAGGCACCGTCTGCAATTATGCCGCACCCCCCACCCACCTCTTAGTATCTGGATTTTGCTTTGAGGGGGCCACCGACCCTCCCCGCCACAACCCTTTCACTCTCCGGCACTCCCACCGCCTCCCCCCATTCCTAGGCCATCTGATTCTCCTAGGGGTACGTGTTTGCGGGGTGGACGACGGCGGGGCGGGGGGGGGGGCGACGGTATACATTCCCTCCCGCGGCAGCAGCCTAGTTCGTATCTTATTCCTACATGTAGCGTTGCTTCGAGTCATGTGGACATTGGGGTTTAGATAATCTAACCCCATATCCCCACCCCAAGCGATTTGATGGTTTTTAAGGAAAGGAAGGAATCCCTGGATTTCCACGCCTAGGACGAGGTTTGAGGATTGAGATTCACCCCCAGCTCACTTCCACGACCAACCCCTCTTTCCTTGTAAGCCATTTCCACGGGGATCCGAACTTTGGGGGGTGGTATTAACGTGCTTCTCTATCTCTACACAGGGTCGGCGTGGCCAAGGACGGCTAGTCTCTGAGGGAAAGTAGCAACCAGTCCAACTCGGGTCGCCCCCACCATTACTTCGGTGAAGGGGGCAACGCTAAGGAGATACTGGTGGGCAGGGACCCAGTATAAGGGAGGGGGCTGGGTAGTCGCCCCCGGAGGGACTCCATTTCTAGTAAGGTAGGGAGAAGCGAGCTTGGGCTTCAGGGGAGAGACTCTGGGGAGGGAGATGGGGGGGTGGCGGCGATGGGGGGGCGGGAAGAAGGGGGGGAGTCACGCCCTGCTAGCAAGGGGAGCCTCCCTCAGGCCCCTGGGAGACGGGGACTGAATGTATCCGTTCTGTGCTGCCCAGCAGGGGAGATCGGGGGTCTCTGGATTTGCACACTGGATCGGGCACCAGTGGCCTGAGAAAGTCAGGTCAGGGCATATGGTGGAGAGCGTTGGGGGAAAGAGACAGAAACCCCTAGTCTTGGCGCCCTGATATTTTCCCTTCCTCAACCTTCCCATTCGAGGGTCGTTGAGGGCGGGGGGGGGGGCGTGGGGCTCTTGCAGCCCCTAGGATTGAGCGCCTCCGCCTCTCCTGGGAGTCTAGCTTTTTGCCCAGCTTGCTGCAGCCACTGCTGCTGCCTCCCTCTCCGGAATCCGCTTGGTCCTCGGAGCGATCCCCTCCTCCTCCCCTCCCCTTCCAGTGTCACCGGGGCTGCTTGGCTCTGCCCCCTTCGCCGCCGCTTGCTCCCTGCTTTCGTCCCTCCCTCTCTTGCTCGCTCCCTCCCTTCGCCTCCACCTCCCCATTCCTCCCCCCTCGGCGGGTGGCATTCTGGGAGTTGTAGTCCCGTGGAGCGGCGGCTAGCGCCGCCCGCGAACTCCGCCGGACTCCACTTCCCGTCGAGCCCTGCGACCGGCACCCACTCCACCAGGCTTCGCTCGCACACACAGACACACACACACACCGCTCTCCCCCTCACTCTTTCGCTCGCCGCGGCTGCTGCCAGTGTGTGGCTCTGTCTCTCCTCCGCTTTGCCGAGCCCTCCCTTCTTCCTCTCAGTTCCTAGAGTCCGACCGCCGCCGCCGCGGAGAGAGAGGAGAAGGAGGTCGGTGGCGATAAGGGGCGGAGGGGGGGCACCAGATCGGGGCAGTATTAGGCGGGTGGCGGCTCAGAGTGGGTAAGAGGGAGCCCGGGTGGCGGCCTGAGCCTCCCCGCGGAGCCGACCCGGGAACAGGTGCGTCTTTTTTTTCTCTCCCCCAACCCCTCCACCCCTTTTGACTCCCCGGCTTTCTCGTATCCCCCCACCCGCTTCTTTCTATCTTAAGCCTTTCCCCAACCCTGTCCCTTCATCGCCCCGCGGCCGCTCTGCTTGCCCCCCGGGGGCGCCGTCCTCTTCGTGTCCCCGGACGTAGCGCTCCCTGGAGCTCGCTCTGTCCTCGCCCCTCCCTTCGGGACAGCTCCCCTCCACTTCCCACCTTCGTACCCCATCGGTGCCCTACCCTACCCCCTCCTCACCCCCTTCTCCCTTAGCCAGGTGAGACTTGTTCGCCACGATCTGAGAGCCTTCTTCCTGGCTGGGCGGGGGTCTCCATGGAAACGGGGGTCGGGTTTATCCTGGGGGGGACCATTGGAATTACCCCACTCCTAGGAAAGGGAGGTGGAGGCTACGGTCTTGTTAACTACCTGGCCCTAACCGTCCCCCCTCCAATTCAAGGATCCAATGATCGGAAAGGAGGCTGGCCAGGAGGGCAGGGCGAGAAAGGGCTTGTTTTTTTTTGGGGGGGGGGGTGGCTGTCCGTGATGAAGTCTTGAAGAGACCTGGAGAAAATACCCTCCAACCTCAGAGGGGAGGTGCGACGGTTGCTCTTCAGGGCTGCTTTCTCCCCGGTGTTGGGGTGCAGGAACCATAGGGTAAGGGGTACCCCCTAGGTGGCGGCGGGGCCTGGGTTCGGGAGTGGGAGTGCTGTGATGGGGGCAGGGGCAATTATCCGAGTCCCTGGAAAAAAGGCGGGGGATGACTTCGGAGCGCCCTGGCTCCGCTGCCCTCGCTCTAGGGGCGGGGGCCGCCGGGCCGGGCGCGGCGAGGAGGGGGCTTAAATTGAAGGAGGATGAGACGGGGGCAATTCATACTAGCCCCGGCAAGCCAGGGGGAGATCCGGCGTGCAAGCTCTCCACCCGCTTCGCGCCAGGCCTGGAGGCAAGGGGTCTGAGAGCGAAGCCGAGGGGTGGAAGGAGGGAGGCTCCGGTTACGGGGCCGGGTTTCGGGATCAGGGGCAATCCCCTAGCCCTTGAAGGAGGGAGAGGGATGGCCGCGAACCCCAGGGCTTCCTCTACCCCAAGTCCTAAGGGGCGTGAGGAACAGACAGCAGGCCCAGCGGAGCTGGATTCGAGCGGATCGTGGCTGGGGAGTGGGGGGGCTTAGTGGTGGGCTTCGGGGGGAGCAGTCCGGCGGCGGGGCGGGCGGGCGGGGCGTGGGGCTCCGGCGGGCGGCGGGGCGGGGCCGGGGCGGCGCTGCTGCCTCCGCCGCCGCTGCCGCCGCCGCTGCTGCTCCTGCTGGGGCCGCCGCAGCCGTTGCTGCCGCCGCCGCCGCCGCTTCTGGGCGGGGAACAGAGGCCAAAGGGAGTCCCGTGCCGGGGCAGAGGGCGCAGGCGGTGCGTGGTGGGGAGGGGGCCGTCCTGGGGGCGGGGGCAGAAGGGGGGTGGAGCCCCCGACGGGGGGCGGTACGAGTCCGGACGACGACGACGACGAAGAGCCCCGGGGGCCGGGTGCATGGAGGACGGGGTGCTGGGAGAAGGAAGGGGGGAGGTGGGTCCCGCGACGGGCCTCGTGGGCATGGCTCCTCGAGGTTCTGCTTCGGGACAGAGCCCTGCAGGGGCGCCCAGAGGCCCAGGAAGGAACAGAGAGGTGAATTGGACGGTGGAGGGGGCCCTCCTCGCCGGGGTCCCGCGGAGGGGAAGGCTGGGCCAGAGGGACGTCCGGGATAAGTCTGGGAGGAGCCGACCGCACCTCGGCTGGGGATTTCGTGTTATGGAGGGGCGGAAGATTGTTCTAGGGAAAGATGTGGTAGAGGGGAAAAGAAGAGGGAAGCAAACTGCAAACCCGGGAGGCCAACAGCCCAGGCCAGTGGAGGTGCCCTTCTATTTCGCCTGCACCGCCCCCTCCCCCAGTGGAAGCACTGTTTTTGTTTTATTGTTTTGAAATTTTCAGTGTTGGCTGTGGATGTGGTGGTGATACTTCTTCATTCTTGGTGTCTCCTAGAGTAGACAGTAAGGACAGGCGTCACTTGGCGAGGACGAGTCCTCGCCCAGGGTTTAGGGGCTCTTTACGTGAGAGTGGGAAGGGGGTCTGATAACTTTGTGCAACAGCCGAATACTCTCAGAGTAGTTTGGATGTCGTCCTCATAGCGTAGAAGTGGAATATAGTTGCAAAAATCTTTGGCCAGACTTCTGGAGGTGCAGTTGTAGGTTAACTGGTTGGCCGCATGGCTCTTTCAACTTAGAAAGCTATTTCTCAAAGTCACACTGCTGAACACTGGGGAGATGAACAGGGGATGCATTTGGTATTGGAAGTGGATTAGGTTGATGATAAAATCCCAAGGTTGGAAGGGACTTTAAAGGTCATCTCATTCTCTGTTTATCAGACCTGTCCTTGAATGTTGGGATAGGGACAGCTTTGTTTTGGGGGAAATGGAGCAGAGTTTAGGGGTACTCAAATTGGATGGGCGATGTCACCATGTGGTACTGAAGAGGATAGTACACAGGAAAGAAATTTGGAGGATTCCACTGGTGATTAAATGGGATAACCCAATCCCCCGAATCACCCGGAGGCTCCAAATAGAAGCAAAAGGTTGGGAGTGCAACCTGTAAAATTTTGATGGAGTAGCAAAGTTAGTAGGAAGGACTTGAGGAGTCAGGAGGAGCAAGGGGCTTGATGACTCAAGTTCAGAGAATCTGAAGGTTGATAGAGTTTAGGAGGGACATGGTTGTTTTGACTAAACCTTGTAGCTGTTGATAGGCAGACTCATCTTTTGATAAGGCAACTGGAGCGGCTGCCTTTGGGATAGATGGGGAGGACAAGAGGCCCAAGCCACAGGGCACAGAGCCTGACTCAAATTGACTTTGAGAAGGCTGGCCCTGTTGCAAGCTATGCAGCAAAGGTAGGATTCTTTCTGTTCTGGCTCTGAGAGTCATTGATGGAGGAAAGGGTTAAGGAGAACTGTTTCTTTAGAATAGGCCATAAGGAAAAGACAGTAAATTATTGGGATAGGGCAGAGGAAAGCTAAGTCCCTGGCAAGTTCTGTGGTTGGAGTCTGGATTGGGCAGAGTGGAGGGGAGTTCCAGAGGAAATGGTGGCTGCACCAAGGGCACTTGGAGATCTGGCTGTTTTGATTACCGAGAGCTGGAAGGGCATTGACTCTCAGTGGCCTAGACTTTTTTGGGGAAGCAAAGGGGTTTCCTCCAGGGGTCTGTTTGCCTTATTCTTGCTGCAGTTCACTACATAGGAAAAAAAATGTTTAGCACAGATAGCAGAGAATCTCACATGATGAGTCTGGATTATGGGTTTCAGAGAGGGGCTTCTTTTAGGGGAATAGAATTATGGTAGAAAAGGACTTGAATACTAGAAAGAAGGAAGGCAAAAACAAAAGTCAGGAAGAGGGTTTTTTAGGCAGTGAAGGGGGAAGAAAAGTGATCATCGCTGGTTTCACGTCAGGGCCAACTAAGGAAAAAGTGGAACCTTGAAATGTCCAGGCTAATGTTTTCCGAAGTAAAGTTTGAAGAACCTTTAGGTCTCTTTACACTTTCAAACCAGAATCACTAGGTTTGATGCAAAAGAGAGGATGATCTTGAGTAAAAATAGGGTATTGGAGAGAAACTGGCATGTAGGAAGAAAATACATATATTTACCCATAGGGAAATAGAGAATTTAGAGATAGTATATAGGCTAAAAAAATGCAGAATGTCAAAGAGGGTGGAATTAGGATGCAAAGGAGGAAGCTGTTTACTCAGATGTCATCTGGAGCTAGTGTCAGAGAAGGTAAAAAATTGCCTTTGATAGCCTTTGCCCTGAGAGGCCCCAGGAAGCAGAGGTTAGCTGGGATCCAGTGCTTACAAGTCTAAGCATTAGTTGTAAAATTAAGACTAAAATAAGGATACTGAATGGGGGAAGGAATTCATAGACCTAAGTAGAATGGCCTTGAAAGAAGGAGAAAGTGGGAATACACCAGTTTTTCCAGTCTGCAAGTGGGAGAAATCCTAGATATAGGGTGGTGAATTATGGAAATTCCAGAGAGAAACAGGATAAAGAACAGTGGCCTTAGAGCCTTGGGCCAGAATTGGAGGGTGGGGTGAGGGCATGGAGGAGAGGCACTAATCATGGGTTGGACATCTGGACTGGTTCATTGATTCTAGGCTGAGAGCTCCATTCGAGATAGAATAGAATGGCCACAGTGGGGTAGAGAGTTGTTTTCCAATGTCAGCCAGCATCTGGGATTGAGAGGGGAGGAGTTCATGGTTAAGTTGAGTGGGAAAGTGAACACTAACTAGAGTGAAACAGAGAGTGGGCTGGGGAAAGTGGAAATTGTTGGGGTAAAACAGATAGGAAAGGGGAGAGGCCACTGAGAATTACATAAGGGGGGGCAGGAAGACCCTAGACCTTTGAGTTTTCAAAAGGAAAGGAAATTTCTTGATGCTGGAGTTCCAGTTAGGTGTGGGTCTATGCTTGCAGAGGGTTTAGCTTCAGGATGGCCAAAGAGAGAAGTAATAAGAACTAATCTACCTCTTGGCCACTAGGATGCTAGTACAGTATTTTACATAATCTCACATACTAACTAGGCTTTATTGTCAGTTTTGAATAGTTATCCTTAAAGCAATGTAGAAACTGCTCTCTTTCTAAATTGTACCCTTTCCACTGTTCATAACTTGAAAGCAGTCTTTTATGATGAAAACTTTCTTTGGTGAAATCTGGTCAAGAGTAAAATTTAACTCTGTTTCTATTCCCATAATTCAAATGTGCTGTTCTGTTTTCCTCTTTTTCTTTTTTAAGCAGAAGCCACTCTTTCCCCATAAAACATTAAAACATGGATAATTGTTTATAAAGTGGCTGCAG